GGAGTACAACAGTAAAAGGGAGAGGTAAGGCGGAAGACACCCATTTATAGGTGGGGTACCCCCAAAGGTGAATACAGGGTTATAAAAAACTGAGTACCAAATGATGCACATATTGACTCTTCGAGGCCTAAGCGGGTCAAGTATAAAAAACAGAAATACATTTTGTGTAATTGTAATACTTACAAATAATATGCACATTTGACTTTGTTACACATTCTACTGCTGTATAACTGGCCCTGTTACATTCATTCATCTTCTAACCGCTTCATCCTCTTGAGGGTCGCGGGGGGGGCTGGAGCCTATCCCAGCTGACATTGGACGAGAGGCAGGGTACACCTTGGACAGGTCGCCAGACTATCGCAGGGCTGACACATAGAGACAGACAACCATTCACGCTCACATTCACACCTACGGACAATTTAGAGTTATCAATTAACCTAGTCCCCAATCTGCATGTCTTTGGACTGTGGGAGGAAGCCGGAGTCCCCGGAGAGAACCCACGCTGACACGGGGAGAACATGCAAACTCCGCACAGAAGGGCTCCCACGCCCGGGATCGAACCGGCAACCCTCTTGCTGTGAGGCGACAGTGCTAACCACCACACCACCGTGCCTCCCACCCTGTTACATAAGTATCATTATCTTTTGCTTGCCACAGATCTTATTTCTGCAATAATCAAAAAGCAAATTGGAAAATCCCATAGGCTTTTTGATGAGGTAACCAGGGTGACACTCGTTGTGGTGGCGATGTTAAATCATGCGACTGTAGTGTAGTTTGTTTATAGCCTAACGTTACCTTTTTACTGCTGGTGATTGCATTTATGCTTCAAAAAAGATAATTGTGGTGTTCATTTATGACGATTATCTTGCTAAACAAAATGCACAAGTATCACAAACATTTGTTCGCCATAGAGCTCATTTTCTGCAATAACCCAATTGCCTATTTGAGGGAACCAGGCAACACTAACTTCTGCATCAGCCTACATAAAACATCATCCCTGCAGCACTCTGTGACTGGACTTCCCTTTAAGTAGTGGTTCTCATACTTTTACTGTCATGTCCCACTTTGACAGTGGAAAAAGTTCATGCCCTTCCACCCCACGTACACAGAAAATGTGGTTGCCCAGGTTACACTAGTGACCACTTTCCACTGTCCCTGTAAGCAGAAATGAAAACAAAAGCTTTGTCCCACCCCCACATTTGTCCCCAGCAGCGTGTAGTGTTGGATATGTAGATATATGGAAAACCTGACTAAGACAGCACCACATTATTCCTGGTAAGAAATGAGCACGAAAACAAGAAATTATTTATGTTATTTTGTTTTTGTGGAGGTACCAATTCAACTCTTTAATGCACAAACACAAAATGTGAATGCACAGACATAGCCCAAATCCAACAGATAGGGATACGTCAAGTTTATTTGTCGCGCCAAATCATTTACATATGGATCAAGCTATGCACTATGGCAACGTTGGTGGGGAAAAACTTCCCTCAAACGGGCTCTATGTAGGCGGCCATCTGGCTTGAGTCACTTATTAAACTGGAGAAATAAAACATGTTTTTAACAAATGCACAAATCATAACATTTTCCCAGTGTCAGAATCAGTGATGTAATTCTTATTCCACTGTCTTACTTTGTGGCTGCAAATACTACTGTTTGTTTAGGATGTTTAACCTTTATCTAAGTTATGATGTCATAATGGAAAAAAGCGATTATTATCAGCCGGATGTCTGTTGTTGTTGCCACAGTGAAAATACTAGGCCAAGTGTCCCGTGACCTGCCTTGTCATTTTATCATCGTCTGAGACTATGCCTTTGCTATAAATAACAAAGTGGGAGATTGTAAAAACCCCTCAGCCTGACTCTCACTATGAGGTGACAAACCAAGCCAGTGCACACACATTTTAAGTGATCCGGATGTAGGGAAATTCCACTACTACAAAAGCGGTCCCTCACAGAACACTTTCTGGGTCTAAAATTAAAAAAAATGACTCCACTTAAGGTAGTTCATTTTGTATCAGTGAGGATGTACTGAAATTTGCAGACATCAAAAGTAGGAGTGTGAATACGTGTCTGAGAGGAGGAGGAAGCTGCCACTGTGCACCGCTATACCACAACTGTCACCATGTGGGGGGGGGGGGGGGAGGTGAGAGAGGAAGCCCCTTTTTGATTACCTCCCACTTATGTGTTTCGTAACTTACACTGGTGTCACTGGGACAAAACCTGAGGCAAACGTTTACTGAGCCTAAAAAGTGACTTGGTTGGGGGAAGCATGTTGACACATCATAACCTGACCTGTAGTTCATCTCCTTCAGACAGAGATGAAAATACACGCAGCTTTTCTTTTTTCGATACATACTATAGGCACTGCTCTACCTGCCTGAAGGATAGTTAAACCTGTCACTGCAAAAATAAGGCCAGGGGGGATCATTTAAAATCCCAACCAGAAAGAAAAAAGTACCAGTTACACCATGCCAGCACTGAGAGGCTCGGGAAGAGCTTCAAGGATCCTAAATGACATATATTTATTATCATCACACTGTTTTAAATGAATGAATTGATGGGACTGACAGATTGCATGGCACTGACATTGTATTCTTAGGATTTCATGCAACAAATAAAGTGAAATTGAAATTGAAAGAAAAAACACAGGAAATTCAGTGTCTTTCTGCAAGATAGTTGGTTCCAGTGGTTAACTTGTACTTCTACTCTGCCTGTGTGATTAGGCTCCTCTAATTGTGTATAACGGGAGATATCATGTCTACATCTGCAGGTCTACATCTGCTGCTGTTATAACTGTCCTACTGTGCTACTGCATTTGCTTGTGTAGAACTAAATCTGTCAGTGAGCAGCCTGCTAAATTTAAAGTGAGTTTGTGGGTAAATTATGTCAAGAGAGGTCTGTGAGTTGATCACAGCCATGGTGGCCACTCTCTGAGGCTACACTTTTAAGCACATCGGTGTCAGTATTAATATGCATGCTTGATTTTCAATAAAACTGTACCTCAATTTTTCCTTCTTGTAGCAGATTGTGCTGTAGCATCATTTCCACCACTGTTGCCAAATTCTATCCTTTATCTCTGTGCAATTATTCCCCAACTTTTTTTGTAGATGTTGCTTGTGTTTAAAAATAGACAAACAAATATGCTCTGCATGCAGTTTAAGAGTGATTTAGGAACGTTCTGAAAGCAACTCAGAGCAAGAGAAACAGAAACTTTTACTGTAGTGAGGAGGTGTGGCTGACGCCGTTGCTGGGTGTGACACATACTGTGCGTTCCAACACCCATACTACCACACTAAGAAAAAGAAGCTGATACATAATATGTCAAATGCAGCCAAAAATACTAGGATGTGCTACTACACACTACATCCGGTCCGATTATGCAGTATGCAAACCAGCATGCTTTTCTGGCTATTCTGACCCACAATTCTGTGCACAGTAAAAGATGTGTCACATCGACTGAGCTGCAGACAGATGACAGCTTGATGGCTGATTGACAGCTGTCAGAAGTCGTAATGACGGATGACAGCACATACAAGCAACTGATGACCAGTCGAATAATAGTTAAATGTTTAACTGACCAAAATAATCATAAATATTACAAACAACAACAGGACCTAACTATGAAATTAACAATGACAGAGAACTGCAGATGTGATTTCACAGTCACAAATACAAAATGTTAGAACCCCCAATCTGTGTATTTATAACTATAACTTACAGTGGCCTCCCATCAGGTTTGGGACTCATTTCAAGATACTTGTTCTCACGTATAGAGCGTGGCTGTCCCACACTCCAGACTCAAAAACAAAAGGTGACTGTGCCTTTGAAGTGGTGGCTCCAACACTATGGAACTCTCTTCCTATAGCTGTACAGTCTGCAGTCTCCTCAGAAAAACATCTGAAGACCCATCTTCTCAAATTGGCCTTTGTCCCACCCTAAATCGCCTTGTGCTTGTTCCTTGGTTTGTTTGCCTTTTTTTTTTTTGATTGCATGTTTTAATGTATTTCAAGTATCTCGGGGTCTTGTTCTCGAGTGAGCGTAGAATAGAGCGTGAAATATATTGGCAGTTTGGTGTGGCTTCTGCAGCGATGTGTGCGCTGTCATGGTGAAGATGGAGCTGAGCCATAAGTCAAAGCTTTTGCTTTACTGGTCGATCTACGTCCCAACCCTCAGCTACGATCATGAGCTCTGGGTAGTGACCAAAAGAATGAGGTCGTGGATACAAGCAGCCGAAATGAGTTTCCTCCGTGGAATGGCTGTGCTCAGCCTTAGAAATAGGGTAAGGAGCTCGGAGTAGAGCTGCTGCTCCTTTGTGTCGAAAGGGGTCAGTTGAGGTGGTTCGGGTTGGAGATGTACTTGGCATGTCCCACTGGTAGGAGGCCCTTGGGCAGACCCACAATGCTCTGGAGGGACTACATATCTCATCTGGCCTGGGAACGCCTTGGGGTCCCCCAGAAGATGGTGAAAGCCTGCTGCCCCTGCGACCTGGTCCTGGATAAGCGGATGAACATTTTATTTCTGTGAAAGGTGCTACATCAAATGTATTATTATTATTGCAGTGGGTTAGAGATGTGTGCAAATTCTCAGTGAGATCGACCACAGACATTATCTCTGCACCATCTAATCTGTTTCATTTAAATCTAAATTTAATATTTCTCCTATCTCTCTGTGTTTCCACCATTTTCTCCTATCTTAGAATTTGTCTTACAGGCTAAGATGCTTTGTGAATAACTTTTATCCTTACTGGGATTTAGTCTTACCTTTAAGGGGAAATTATAATTTTGAAATGTTGTCACCAGGATTAAGTCTTTGTACTAGAAAGCTTTGTGAATACAGCCTCTTATCTGTAGTTTCGACCTGTCACTACATTACAAAAACGCTGTACAAAACAGCGTCGTCAGTTTTCCAAACAGTGTAATTCATCGTGTTTTATAAACGATCTCTGCACGTGCGTCAATCGAACGACAACAGCCAACGTGTCGTCCAAGCATGTGCGCTGGAGACGTCACGTTCAGGCTGAGACGCGGCTTCGAAACCGTTTAAATATCAAAACGATACGTTTACAGGTCTTTGCGTTTGTTTTCTCATTAGAACCGTGTACTGGATATTTAGCAGCAATTGTGGACGTGGTAAGTTTAACTTTTATCTTAATTTACTGCATTAAGTAATGTACATAGTAACGTTAGCATAAAAGTGAATTTGCCTTCAAGTTAGCGCTAGCGTTCATCCACGTTAGCAAGGTGCATAGAGATGTTTAAGGGATTAAAAGTCTAACTTTAACCCGTTAAGGTACTTTGTAAACCGCAACGAAAGCGTAAGAAACTTCAAGTTAACTTTAAAGTAACGTTACGTGAAGTATTAATGTTTATATCGTATTTTTATAGGCTATATTGAGTGTGATGCTAAGCTAATGGTAACGTAACGAATGCTATTAAGCTAACCTAACTTTGCTAACGTTAGCTATCTTTAATAGATGCCAAGTCCCAGATTAGTGATTTGCAGTGTTAGCTACACTTCTACAGATAACCCAAGGTTATATTATTAAAGAATAATTCTGACGTTACCATATCTTTGAATATGGACTAAATATAACACTTGCTAACCTAAGTGGATACAACCGGCCAGACTGTGCCCTTGAAACCTTTTGTCAGACGTAACTTTGGGAACCTTAGCTAACATGTCTGTTTGTCCCTTGTCAGAATCATACAGTTTTCTTTAGGTGTGGTTTCAGGTCAATCATGGAGTTATTTTTCTCTTTCTTTCTTTCAGTAATCCTGAAAGCTTTCAGGATGTTTCCAGCTGGTGGATCATTTCGTGGCTCCAGGGGAGCCTCTTTTGCAAAAATCCTCATGAAGAATTTGCCTGCCTCACCAGGACGTGAATTATACCAACCTCTGTCCACCTCGGATTCTCCTGACAAGGATGTCTTTGACCATCAAGGGAAAAATACATTTAAGCACGGTGAGTTTCAGAATGTGATCTGCCAGAATCCCACTTAACTTTATCAACAACGTCTTTCACCAGTGTTAATTAATGTAATAACTAATTAGACAATACAAGGGTGAATGGGGGCCATATAACACAATGTGAAATTAACTGGCAGCCAGCTGCAAATCTCATCATATGGGTTATTAAAAAAAATCACATACAAATAAAATGCAATGGTTTAATCTTTTAGTCATAAACTAATCAACTTTCCACTGCTCTTGAATGCAGCGGCCCTTGCTGTCAGCTGTCAAATGCCAGCCCTTGGTCGTTTCACATTGGCCCCCTGGCCCAAACTTTGGCCATGTCTTCGCTAATAACAAAAAGACTGCATTCTCCTCTTGTGATGTCTGATTTCTTTTGCAAGGCCAGTTAGTATTTAGTTTTTTTTGCTACAGCCAAATGGACAACTTATATTAATGTGACATTTTCTACACTTTTTTTTATTTCACCAACTAAGGTCCTGCTGCCAAGCCGACAGCTTCACCTGAAATCCTGATTGACAGATACAGGAAAGGGGAGACGAACCCTGTGTCTTTGCTTCATCAGCTTGCCCAGACTTTGCAGTTCCACCTGGAACTGAAGGAAACTGTGACCACAGGTAAAGCAGCAGCCAGTAAAATCAGCTTTTCTGAGGTTTGGTTGAGATTAAACCTGCAGGCTCAGCTCCACACGATTCCTAAAATCTGACTGCTCACTGCTGGCTGATGGAAAAAGGCACATCCACAGCAGGAGCTGAGGATTTGTCTCCAATCAGTGTCTCTTCTCTTGTTTCCTCAGGCAACATAACAGGGCTTTATTTTGCCTTTTGTGTGGTGATTGATGGGATCGAGTACAAGACTGGCATGGGAATAACAAAGAAGGAAGCTAGGCGCCAAGCTGCGGAGCTTGCTCTGCAGGAGCTGCTGCCCACCTTGGGAAGTCTGACGTCTGTCCTCCCTGACGCATCAGGTGAGGATCTAATGCTGATCAAAGTATGATGTGTTTCTACAGCAGACTTTGATGATTCCTTTATTGTGCTTGCCTGTAAAATTAGCTTGCTACATTTAGACATTGTTAACAGTGAAATCATGAAAGAAGAACAGAATTACCTTAGATGTAAATAAGAGGATTTTGGATAGCAAAAATAATGTATATATTCTTCATTTATACAGAGAAGGTTGGCTGAGGATACATGCTCTTGTACAACAACACCCTGTTAACAGTTTCAGTCAGAAATTAAATAAAGACAGGCCATGGTTACACTTGTCTTTCAATACGACTTTTGACATCCTATCATGCCAGGATGCATTAACTGTCATGTCTGGACATTCTGAGATTGGATCTTGCTTGCATTTGCATCTGATTAGCAAGACAATAGGCCGAAGTGGCCTGGCTCTCGTTGAGTTTGGATATCAATGAGGTGTAGACAGCATGTGGACAATCCGGACAAAATCCGGAAATCAAATGTAGGTCTTGTGTCATCTTCCTGCAACACGGACTTCCTCTCCCAAATGAGAGCACAGGAAAGACCTCGGCTGGAGTATGATAAACTTAAGACCCATTGTCTTAGAGGGTTTTACCATACACATGTGCTGCCTTGGCTTGTCTTGGTCCGACAGCTCAGCGCATTAGAGATTTGCATCTTCTATAAAATTGTTGAAACTGCTGTTTGCAGAGGTGCAGTAAGAACTCGTTGTCTGCAGCTCTTCATCTAACATCTCACTGTGGCTGTTTGTGCATATACACTTGCTTCCTGTGTTATTAGCAGACTTGTTTTTATTGAAAATTAGCTGTGAAAAAAAGTTCGGCTATTTTGGTGATAAATTCATTCAGTTTCCTATAAATTCTTCAGAATAAAAAATTAAATTGTTAAATTGTTATTTAAAAGCTCTCATTGTGAAGCAGCACAATAAGGAAATGTTAAGGTTTCGTGGACAAGGTAACATATCCATGCAGAAATACATCTAATCAATGTGTAATCAGGCAGGTTGCATTGAAGTGTCAAATCTGGACACACGTATACGGACACAGCTCAGTTCCGATCTGGCGCATCGGATCATAAAAGTTGTATTGAAAAGACAAGTGTAACCATGGCTTATAGAGAAGCAAACATAACAGAATAATGTATAATAAACACAATACAGGCACAAATTAAGTTACAACAAAGTGTTGTGTCTTGTCAGTAGGCGCTCCCCTTCATTCATTTCCATGCCTTTTTTTCCACAGATGTTCCTCCACCACTGCCAGTGAAAGAGGAGCCCTCCATCTCCAACATACATTCTCATAGAGCCACTTGTGGTAATTCTGGATTTCTACTATATGACTCTCTCATTTTCTTTAATTTATCATTTGCGAGATGGCAATATGAGGACAGTGGTGCATTTTTTGTTTGGTTCACTCAGTATTCAGTTTCTCTAAAATAAAACATTGAAGTTAAAGTGCTGGCATTTAGGTTTAATTCAAGAGATTGGCATGTATATTGAGTCGTAACGTGTTTGGATTAAGGTCAGGTGACGGACTTGAACAGTGAAGAACATTTCACTTGATGACTGTATGTCTTGAATGATTGTTTTAGGTAAAGTCAAAAGTCAGCAATTCATCTCATAATTGTCATATCAAATCGCACGTTCCAAAGTTTAGCCAAAAAAACAAAAAAATAAGTAATGCTGCAACAGTTAAAGTCCATACTGTATAATGCAAAAAGGGAAAGTGCAGGGAATACTGTACAACCACATGCTACAGTGAAATACATATATCTCTATACATACCTTTTTCGTTCAGGGCGAGAGCAGTTAAAGGCCAGTTGATTTTTTTTTTTTTTTTTCCATTAATATCTTTCTTGTTTTTCAGACACGACGAGTTCTGTCAACCTCCATATTCCACATGCTGTCAGGGATCAGCTCACCAAACTGATGAACAGCCACCCACAGTTCTCTGCCTGTGCAGGCACCACAGCAGCATTCATCATTCAGACTTGTAAGCGAGCTCTCACAAAAGCATGGTCCAAAGGTCGTTTTTTAAAAAGTCAAACATCAGGTAGTTTTACCGTCTACAATAACCATCGTTTAATCTGACATTGGTGTACAGACAACAAAACCGAAGTTTTCCAAATTTAGTGTTTATTGTAGAATTCGTGCTGTTGTTCATGGTGCTTTGTTGACTGCATTACTTTTAAGCTACACTCAGAAACTGTTACTATAAATCAGTGGTTTTCAAACTGTTTCTGTCCAGGGCACACCAAAAGGGCAAACCAAAATTGCAAGGCACACCTGTACTCATATCTGTGCACAAGAGCTTCTGTAACGTGTGTTATCACTCAAATCGTGACATCAGACAATAAAAATAAGACAAAATAAGACAGGTAGCTTTCGTGATACTGTCTACAATTTCTTTTGAGAATCACTGCTATATACAGTACTATATACTGTATAATACAGAGCAAACGGTAGTGTATTTCTAGCTCCACTTGGTCTGCTCAAATAAAACGTCCTACCTCTGCTTGACAGCAGTATAACAACAAAAACAGAACTGCATATAAAGAAACTGAAGGTTACAGTCTGTTCAGTGGTTGAGTGGCGACTACCTCAATTTGCGCTCTGTACAAACTCTTCTCTCTCTCTCTCTCTAGCCAGCGGTTGCGAGGTGGTCGCTCTAGGCACGGGCAGCTTCAATACCAAAGAGGACACCTCAGCGAGTGGGCGGATTGTACATGATTCACATGCAGTAGTAACTGCAAGGAGATCACTTATGAGGTTAGTTGCAAACATGACCCTGTGTACGATAGATTGTTTGGGTTGTGGTATGCCTAGAAACAAATTATTTTCTCATTATCCACAAGTGTTACTGCACTGAACAGTGAAAGTTTACTTTTTCATGTAAGGAAATGATACTAGATAGAAGTTCAGGTTACAAAATAAGACTGAGATGGTTTTTTTAAATTCATCTAAACTATCAAATAAAAGAAAATACTGTGTTCCATGAACCCCCCAAGGGGTCTCAAAAATCAAAATTAAACACAAGTTTAAACCTCTTCAAATACTAAAAAGCTTGTTAAATGCAGTCACATGGATGACATGTTTGTTGAATGACCTTTGCCAGTGAGGTAGGTAAGTGTACATAGACACACATATGTAGACCACAGTAGCCTAGAAACGTCACTGAGAACAACCTTGAATGTGAGTGCATTTCCTGTTACACAGTCCCCAGATGCTCCGAGATCACATATGTTACAGTTAGCCAATTTGCTGCTTGTCTATTTCTCAAGACCTGGGGGCGATGTCATGTCGTCTGTCAAGACCTGCAAACCCTACGTTGTTATAACAGTTTAGGTCACATGGCCTTGTCTGTAAGAGGAAGAGTTGATGAAAAATATCACAGTGGTGTCTGTTATTGTGTAAAGACATTTTTGGTCATCTGCAGTTTTTCTCTGTATACACAAACAAAACAAAACAAAAAAGAATAGTATTGGTTTCACACCACAGGTATATGTTTATAGGGGGAAATAATAGCTCAAATGTGATTTGGTTAGTACAGTAGGTTTAACATTAAGGTACAATAGGGCTCCCCCCAAAGTATTTTCCTAGTCGACCAATAGTCGTCATTTAGGGCCATTAGTCGACTAGTTGCCCGCATGTTTACGATATTAATTTAAATATTAAATAATATATTTTGGTGGTTTGAGTTGAAGGTGTGAGAAAGAATAGTATCAGTAACATTGTTAACACTAGCCCCTCCAGCCCTGGAAATTAACCTGACTCCTGTCTGACTGCTGAGTGTGGCCACTTCCTGTGTTTGTCCTTTCAAATTAAATTCCCACATGGTCTAGTCAGATAGGTTTGGATTTATTTTGACAAGGAACAGCTCCCAATTGAGTTTCAAGTTTTTTTATTTCTTTTTCTGCAACTAAGCGACCAATGAGATCTTGCCGACTCATGACCCTTCTGGTCGACTGATCTTTGGTCGACTTTTTGGGGACAGCCCTGAAGTAAAATATGTGTAAGGAGTATTTCACTTTTAGGATGCATGAATATTGCTCCTTTGAAGATGGTTCACCCTCAGCTCACACCTCTATAGCTGTAGTATTGTTTTACGTGACTATGGGAGAAGACATGAAAGCCTTTTTTCCCCGCTAACAGTAGCTCTTCACTTCTAGTCACTGTTACTGCTCATATTTGTGATGTTGCATCATAATGAGCCATTCTCATGCTGTGCTGTCAGGTTCCTGTACCGGCACCTGCTGCTGTTCTTCAGCAATCACGCCAATTTGAAGGAGAAGTCAATCTTCCAAAAGAACAGCAGCAGCGGCCTCCTCAGCCTGAGGAGTGGCATCACCCTGCACCTCTATGTGAACCAACTACCAAAGGGTGCCGCTCAGATCCCCTCCACGCTGTGAGTTTTAGACTATAAGCCTCATCCTTTAGAGTTTCTGAACGCTGTTATCTCATGAAGCATTGCAGATCAAGTGATGTGATAGTTTCAGGAACACGAGTAAGAGAAAGGTCATGACAACCTAATACTGGGAGTTGCTTTGCACTCGACCTTATAAGGCTGTGATTGTTAGCAGTTAGGTCTTTATAAGAGCCACAGAAATGCCAAATCATGGTTAAGTAGCATAAGTAATGTTTGTACAAATGCAATGATGCTTTTCTTCAGCTCTGTACTTTATTCTCAGGCGCCTGAACCCGCTCTCCATTTCAGCATGGCAAGTCAACAATGAGATCAGCCTGCACCTGTCAGTGGAGGGCAAGGTGATGTATATGTTATATATATATATCTTATCTTTTACATTCTTTTATCTAGTGGAAGTTTCTTTTATAATATATTCAACAAAAGTAGAGTTGGATTTTTCTAAACACATCACGGAATCATAATGTAAATAGCATTGCCACTGTTACCTTTTTCGCTGCATAATTACAGATTGATTTGTTTCTTTTAAAGGTGTTCTCAGTTTTCTCGTCAGCCTTTGATCACTCTGCCTCCAAGGCGGTCAGCATGTCCGCCACAGACAAGCTCACTCAGTGGCAGGTGCTAGGATACCAGGGAGCCTTGCTCAGCCACTTCATCGAGCCCGTCTATGTCCAAAGCATCCTCATAGGCAAGTCAGCAAGTCAAGTCATGATGCACCTTACACTGAAATTATCTGGGTTTTTACGACAGAGGGAATTTAAAGGCAGCCTCCATATTTCAAGTCAGTGCTACCTTTTCCAAAGCCTGACCATTTTGGCAACAATAAAGAATTATGAAGAGCATTAAATGCATTATCACTGAGTCCAAATGCAACAATAGAATTACTCCACAGGTGTTGTAAGGTGAGATATTATAGTAAGACCAGACAATGATAACTGTAGTGACAGCAGAAAACAGAGAGGCTGAGGCTGGGCCTGGTTAACTTATGTGACACGCTGAGATCCAAAAGTGTGTTAAATAAATTTACTTATGAAAAATCATTATCATAACGTGCACAAACTTATAAAAACTTAAAAAAAACTTAGTAAAATGATCACAGCAGACAAAGAAGAGGGTGGTCAACAAAAAGTACAGCGACCCACTCACCCCGTCTCTCCCAGTCACCTCAGTCACAAAGAGAATAAATACATACATATGACGATACAAAAATATAAAACCATCCCAAAACTAGTCAATCTTGTAAATCTTACAAAATTCATCCCGTTCTAAATTAATTCATGACTCCTACAATAACAGAAAGAATAGATTTCCTGATTTGTGCTGGTAACCTGATTTCAGAGCGAGTCACAGTTCCAAGACTTTAACTTAAATGTGCAGTCCATGATTCTGGAGAGACTGTTAATAACCAGACTCAAAACCCAAACAAACACACATGCTCCTTCAGAAGCTTGTCCCTCCAAACTCATGGAGGCGCATTGCCAAGGCATCAACAGTTACAACGGGTGAGTCAGCTGACTGAAAGCGCAATGTGGAAGAACCCACAGACTTTCGGTTAGCTTTCAGTTAGCTGCTGTAGCAACTTATACAGCCAAAGCAAACCCCAGGGCTGAGGGTCTGATACCAGACTGCAACGTCTCCTACCAGCTGGCCGTATCAGCAGCTTTCTGTTGCCTCAATGACATTAAAGCGGCTGTTTGCCCTGGCCTGATCATATCCCTTATTTTTAATTTTTTGTTTGTCTGACCTCCTCCTCTGTGGCTGATTCTCGGTCATCTCTCTTTCTTGATAATTCTCTGTGGATTTCAGACAGCGAGCAGACTGTGAGGAGAATGTAGCTGCGGAATTTGACAAAAAGTGTATTGGATTAGAATCACATACTCCGCCTTTAATTGAGATCGTTGCTCCTCACCACTTCTTTTTTAAAGCTGTGTCTACAGTATACAGGTGGTATAGCCACCTACAGCCAGAAGAACTTGACGTCAACACAAGATCCACTGCCTGACCTTGAAACTGCAAATCCTACAATCCCTGTTCAAATAATTTGGATAGGGAGCATATTTAAAGTGACCATTTAGGGTCCTTTTTATACAACTAAGATAATATATTTTGAAATAAAGGTAATTCAGGGAATACAGTTACATGAATAGTTTGCTCATTGTCATAATATCGATCCACACATTCCCACAGTTAACGTGTCAGTGGGGAATGCACCTGATTGAAGTGGCTCTCGTATTCCAGGTGGCGCAGAAGACATATGCAACATACAGAGTCAGCAGTCAGAGGATCAAAACATTAGATTAATATTTTCATTTCATGTTAATATATTCATCATCCAGCACTTGCGATCCTATCCCCATGTTCTTTGTTTAACCCAGAACCTTACCTGACCTGATGCAGGACTCTGCTTGTGTTCTCTATCCCTCCTAACACCTAAGAGATCATTGTGAAAGTCAGTAGGATATGCCTAATAAAGTTAGGAGGGGAAGTTGATCAGACAAATAAAATGTAAACAGGAAGTTGTTTCTCATTGTGGGTCTCAGCTCAGTACTTGCTCTCTGCTTAAGCAAGGTTGAATCTTATTGATGTCAAAACACATAAGAGTTTTAGCTGATTTTAAAAAGGGCTGTTCTATGGGATTGGATTGAATCGCTGGTCTGGTTTTTCTGGTACCTTCGATCTGACTTAAAAAAGGATCTACGTCAGGCTTCAAATAGCATAACAAATTAGGTGGTATGCAAAAATTATTCTTTGTAACGTTTGTTGTATGACATCTTGTTGGTAAAATCCTTTTTTTAATCATGTCTTTAACCATAGCTGGCCTGTACTATAAACAGATAGTGCCTCTCGCATTGGCTGAAGACCTGGCGTACATTGGAAATATTTTCCTAGTTTAAAAAAAAAAAAAAAAAGCAGGAAAAGCCCTGATGGTAAGATAAAGCATAACACCAGTGTTGCCATGGAAGCATTTGAAAGTAGCTGTGACTGAGACGAGCTTATGGACAGCCCCACATTCTCTCAAGGAAATGGTGAATCCAAAAATAGGCACTTAGGTAACACCACGTCAGGTCTGTCTATTCAGACAACTGATGTTGGCAGCCTGTAGATTTGAAGCTGCTCGCTCATGCACTTGTGACACAACTAGCAAAGAAATTCCCCGACTTTAAAATCCTCTGTTTGACAAAAGATAACTACAACAGGTGTGAAAATATCCTACTCAAGTTTCCAAGTCAGTTCTTACAGAAGACAGCACAGTAAGATAGATTTTCCATGTGACTCCTCCCCTTTTCAGAATCATAGTGGTATATGACCCACATTTGCTCCATCTATGGGAGAGGGAAACTCCAAAATCAGTTGTATTGGATATGTGTGGAAATGTAAATATACTGACAGTCATTAAAAAATGAAGATACCACTTGACCGAAGCACAACTACATGACTGATGAATTAAAATGTTACTGTCGTCGAATGCACAACTGCAGTAGACACAGTGCAGACAAACGCACACACACATACAGTACACACTAAAAGCATTCAGGAAGAGTACAAAATTACAAACTAACTGCTGGAGCGCATTCTGTTTTATAGGTTAACATTTATCTTCTGACAGATAGTACAGGTGGCTGCCTTTCTTTAAACGGCTGAAACCTTACAACTCATTTCCTGACTAACTGCACTAACATCCCCCGACCTACAAAGAACCCTACTTTTATTTCCATAATCATGCCAGGTGCAAACACAAAAAAGGGCACCTCAGGGTTTTTCCTGGCTCAGAATGAGGTGGAGGTAGTACCATCCTGAACATGTGCACACAAGTGCATGTGTACCTTGCCTTCAACTGGCTTAAGCAAACACTTGGTACAAGAAATTTATTTTATGAGTACGATTTTAATTATATGATTGAAGAAAATTTGTACAACTACTTAAGAAATATAGCCAAATTTTTACATGGAAAGTCAGCTGTGTGTTATGTGAATTCCTGGATATTAAATGTTCACATGCAGTTTTGGTTTTGTGCAGTTTTGCAGTTGTGGTCCCAGTAATAGGCCATGTGTTTTTTTCTGAAGTAGCATATCACATGACAGGTTAAGCTATGTTTGAGGCTGAGTCATGACCACAGATGCTGATAAATGGAAACTCTTAGAAAAAAAAAAAGAAGAAGAAAAGATGGTGCTGGCAATATTGTATTACACAAGGGCACAATTGTAGATCTCCTCATTTATTAAAGCATTTAAAAATAATGTATCTCCTCTTACACACTTTGACAGGACACCTTTTAAAGGCAGCCTATTTTTTTTGATGGAATTTATTTTGATTATTTTACTTCTTATTTTCAATTATTTGCCTTTGTCAGACTCAGTCATATTTTTATGTATCATAATGAACTAATGTCATGTCTCATAGAAGTCTTTTAAGGCACATAGAGTAGCGTTTACAAAGGCAGAATCCGACTGCCGTTTGCAACAGCATTTAAGACTAGCGATAATGAACTATCATCAAATGGCAGTGAGGAGGAGTGTTGTTTTCTTGGGTGATGTTTTTTTTCTGTTGTGGTGGCAAAGACGTTACCAGCAGAAACACCGTGAGGCCCTGTGCTCCCGCTTTGCTGTGGTCCAATACAGATGGTTCTGTTCTTTGTCTCTGGCAATTTTGGCAGTGCCTTTCCCAGTGCACTGTGCTGATTATGATACACCACCACCACATCAGCAGCGCACTGCCACATTTGCAGTTACAAATGACAGAAATCCACCAAGTGCAGCACTTGTTAGAAAATAGTGTTACACACGTCAGACATTTATCAAGAGCTGGGAGCGGGGGTGAATTTGACTGCAGGCTGCCTTGTAATTCTCCATGCAGGAAAAACCCTGCATCTTCTTATTTTATTTAGCAGTTTGATGGAATAAGGGATAAATGAGGTCTGCAGCCTGTTGCACAAATAAAACACAAGATGGATTTGATGTAATGCCACTATCTAGAGCAGTGGTTCCCAACTGGTCCAGTCACAGGGTCGAGATTTGCCCTTTGTCATTAGTTTAAGGTCTACACGGTTTAATACATTCAACGTCATACTTGCGTTTGGCCATGTCGTCGAGCTAGTTTGCTGTCTCTGTCAAGTAGCTGTCTGTTGTTCACTCACTCTACAGCAGGAAACGGCACTTCAAAATAAAACTCTGTGCTGGAAATTCACTGTACATAAATATAAAGTGTGTTTTTTACAAACCTGACATGTTTGCAAGTCACTTGCGGTGCATTCAGAATGGACCCGCGATCCACCATTTTGGAGCCACTGATCTAGAGTAAAATTTTCACAATCCCCAGGCTGTAGAAAGAGAATCCAGTGATTAAGTGTTACTGCACAAGGGTGTCTGCTAAAACATATTATCTTTTAATATCTTACAGGTGACCTTGGCTGCAGTGATATCCGTGGCATGAAAATGTCTGTGAGCCAGCGTGTGGAGGGGATCACCTCCCAGCTGCCCATGTTCTACTGCATGATGAGGCCCCACATCAGCCTGGTGCCCTCTGTGGCTGCCAACAGCACCGACAAAAGCCAGTCGACCTACTGTATAAACTGGTGCGAAGGAGACAGCTCTCTGGAGGTTGTGGATGGCCTGGAGGGCAAGACCATAGAGGAGTAAGGACGACTGTATAGGAAGTTGGCAGGAGGGTTTTCCACTCGCAGACTGTTGAGAGACTGGATTGGATTGCAATTATCCAAAATTCATAAATAACTGCAGAGCTTACTGAGATAATGATTACTTTTATTCCAAATTTGAAACAAGGCAGCCTGGAAATGTAATTGGCAGGATACCAGCTGTGGGATTAACCGCAGTGTGTTCATGAGCTCATGAAGTTCCCTTGACACTGACTGCTTTGGGATTTACTTTGAATTTCCTGTTTTGTTAGCTTTGTCTGTGATTACATTAAAGCTCTTTCTTTACACTGATTCTTTTGTTGTAGATCCCCCTTTAAGAGTGGCTCTGCTCTTGCGAGCCGTCTGTGCAAAGCCGCAATGCTGCACCGCTTCAAGTTGGTGGCCAAAGAGGCCCAGCGGCAGGACCTGCTGGCCACAAGCTCCTACAGAGAAGCCAAGGTAACCTCAACAGTAACACTTGTAATACGGCATTTACACAGGTTGCAACACTGATCCTCTGACGTTCACTTTATTTGTAAACAAAAGCACACCCTGTAGTTTCAAAATTAATCAACACACTTGCATATGGTACAATTCCCAGTGTTTAGTTTGACAGATGATGAATTTATTTGTCTCAGGCATATTGCTCACTCCTAACTTCACGTTGTCATTTCACATTTAAAATCAGCTTTGTGAGGACTGCTGTGTGTATACTTTAGGAAAATTATTTGTAAGGTTCGTGGTTATTCGCCTTACTTCTATTGTTATTTTTTCACTGAAGAGGATGGCGAAGCCTTACCAGGAGGCCAAGAATGTGCTGAGGGCGTACCTGTACAAACAGGGCTTTGGTTCCTGGCTGGTCAAGCTGTCGGTTAGTGATAACTTCAGCATGTAAAAAAAAAAAAAAGAAAGAAAGAAAAAAACACGTTATCACTGAAAGCCATTGTGTTCAGATTTTTAAAATCAAGTTCAGTTTACAAGAATCAGTTGTTTCTGTGAGCCTTTACCAAGCTGGTAATACATTTCTGTTGTGTTTCCTGAAGAGATTAGAGTTAATCTCTGTTCATGTTTAAGAGAGGTTTTTTGTTTGTGAACTCTGTTTGCGGACTGTGACCCTCAGGGTTAGGTCGGGTTTTCAAAAGAGGAATACAAATACTATAAATGTGTATAAAAGAGACATTTGTAGAGGCAAACAACTTCTGTTGCAGCCCACTACAGACCTTAATCAGGGTAATAGTTATTTTGTTCATTGTTTTACTGTTGAATTATTTTAAAGTATTACATGCTTTTGTGTGTAATCATAATGACCATGTACAATGTGTAATCATAATGTTGGTTTGCTACTTGTGAACTTTTCATTATGGCCCTGAGGGCTCTGGAGTATTTAAGTTAATGAGGTCATGATTGTTTCATCACATGGATTTAAATCAATAAAATAAATCATTCCAAGCTCAAAAGCTGGTATTCAGTTCATTTTTATTTTGAAGAAATTCAAAAATTACCAAAAAAACTCTGAAGGTGAGAACTGAGCACTTGTTTCGCTATTTCAAGTCCACCAAAACCTACAGCAAATTAGAATTTCAAAAAAGAAAAACTCTTTGAAGCTGCGATAACAGGACTACAATCAGAACACTGCTCAGAGACTGTCTGTTTATCTACTGCTTCATCTGGGTAATGCACAAGAGAAAGACACTATTAGTGACAGGAAGAGAGAGAGAGAACACAGTAGATAATAAACCATTTTATTTAGAAAGAAAAGTTAATGCACACTATCCCGTGTGAATTGGCCTCAATTTACCAGCATTTCACCGTTGGGAAGTGCTGATTTCGCATCTTTTGGGGGGCATTCAGATGCAAAATGACCTTGGATATCCAGAGATTTGCACTGCAAAAATGCAGACTGTGTTATGTGAAGATCAGGCTGCTCGTCACCAGATACAAACCGGTTGACCCCCATGTTGATGCAAACTGTTGATATGCCTCACGCTGTTATTACATATACGCACACAGGAAATGCTTTGGTTTCCTGTGTATGCTATGCAGTGGATCATTTACTTTAAGTGTTGAGCAGCCTTGTGAATGGAGTGGTGTGTTTACTTCCTACTGCTTTGAGCAAAAGAAGGAATTGCCAGTGCACTGAGGAAGCTTGTGTTCGAGGATCAAGCCTTTCGATTGTATGTACAGCTGCAGGTCTCATACTTACTTGTCTCCTTTTATATGTTCTCGCGTTTGCATCATATGCAGTGCAGAGTGTGATCTTTGTAAGTGTAATGCAGTGCACCAAACCCTGATAGAACTTTGCACGGTTTGTGTGGCAATTTATCAAGATTGAGCAGTGCTGCTTAGTTTAATTGGAATATGTATAACTTTTGACTGGTTAGGTTCTGCTCCAGTTGTGCAGATCCCCAGAGGTGATGTCTAAAGCTGATGCCTTTGTTTTTCTGTTTTAAATAATGATGCGGGGGGGGGGGTTGCCCTCTTTCCTGCTGCAGTAAGTTCATTGTTGTAACCATTTGTTGTTGTAAATTCCTCTGTTGTTTTTGTAGTTAGCAGGGAAAGTTTTGATCAAGACAAGTCATTGGTTGCCCTGTAAATCAGAGATAGTCTTCAAAATATTCTCCCTTATCGTCGTCCACTTTTAAGACTTCATTATTGCTATGTTGTGTGTATTTTGTCTAACATCAAGCCGCCAACTCAGTTGACTTTTCTGTAAAATGGCACCAACCCACAGTATTTTAGCACTGTGATCTTGGCTGAATCTGAAAGTGCTACATGTGATTAAATGTTGCCTTCTCTTGTATTCTTGTATTGGACTGGAATCTTTTGTTTTAATGTTGTCAGTAAACTTTAATGTAAAGGTTTGCCCCTGTGGACATTGTTATTAATATTAGTATTTATTTGTGTGGTAGGTTTTTACATCAGAAGTTAAGTTACTGATTCAGTTCCCCCAAACAGATGCAGTGTAAGATAGATATGAGACCATCTTTCTTTTTTTGTGTGTAGCATCAGTCACTGAGGTGATACTAGTAGGTTTAGAGATAAACAGGATATGCAACTCTATTGATGTGGTTACAAAGTGAAAACGTTTGAGACCTGAGCTCTTAGAAGCTGGAGCACCTATGCTTGAGGTGCTGTGCAGAAGGATGTGTAGTAATATGTGCTGCATTCTTGTAAATCGTGGCTTGATTCAGAAATCCACATGCCTCAGGGTTGCTTTTTTTCTTGCCATTTTGTCTCATGAATCATGTGTTCAATAAAAGATAGAACAAATCACATCAGGGGACCCATCATTCTAAGAAAGTGACATAACATTACATGAAATGGCCTCTTCCATGATAGGTACAAAAAACCTTTCAAATACATTTAAAAGACAGGCACTAACTATTCAAGTTATAAATTAGTGCTTTTGGGGGAAGTGACTGTCCTGGTACCCCCTACGCCATCTTTTGGTCTCTGGATCAATTTGCAGTGTTTGTGAGATGCCGATCACATTTGGTGTGTCATATTTAGTGGTATTTCAAGAAAAGCAAATATTCAAGTATTGACAAACTTGGAGGAAAGGAAGGAAACAGAATTTATTTATAACCAGTTTAACAAGTCCCTCATGTTGCATTGCCAATTTTGTTCGTCCTGTTATAGTGTGGAAGAAAGTTTTTGGATGACTGCTGCTATAACTCTCTGGCAGACGTGAGAATGTCGTAACATTAACCTTTAACATGGAGGGAGTGCAAACTTAGTAAAAAGACGAGGATTCAAAGTGTTAAAACGATCCATAGTCTAAGCAAAAAACTAAAACCAGGTGAGAAAACATTATTAACTGAAATAAAAAGAAACTAGACTTTAGAATAAGATGACAAACTAACTAAAATGATGTTGTGTACTTACACAAGTAACGAAAATAAAATAAAAATATACAGGAAATGTCTTCAGTTTTAGTCTTTGTCAATTTGGACAAGTTTATCAACACAAGAAGCACGAGGAGTCATTGGTGCATGTTGATTGAAACTGGGATGTCTGCATGCCTTCACAAACCGTTGTGTTTGCATCTGAACTTCCTTAATCTTGCCACTGACAAATACTCCCCCATATTATAAAAACGAACATAAAACTAATACCTAAAACAGTAAAAAACTAAACTAAACTAAATAAAAAACTAAATAAAAAACTAAAATATTTAAAGGGATAGTTTACATTTTTTGAAGTAGGGGTTGTTTGAGGTACTTCTCCATAGTCGGTGTATTACATACAGTAGATGTCAGTCTGCATGCCCCCACTTTGGTGAATCAAGCTGGACACGAAAGCTAAGCAATCTACTGCTATGGATGGGGTCAGCAACAAAACATATTTTAGCCCCCCAAAAAGTCCTACCTAAAAAAATCAACATCACTTTAAGTGTATGCCATATTGAGAATATTTTCACCGCTTTACCTTTCTGTCAAAGGGGGAGCTGTCAATGGCTTCAGTTACCCATCTATGCTCTTGTCAAAGCCACCAGACTGTATTGAGAAAAACAATCATTTTAGCTCACTGACCATGGGAGCTGCTGGTCAGCTGTTGCTGCGATCAGTTTGTTTGTTATTATGTGACTAACCCATCAAAATGCCAAAGTCACACAATAACACAAACCAACTAACTGATCCAGGCAGTGATAGACCAGCAGCTCCTGTGTTCACTAATGTTAAATCACTGTTTTTCTTAATGGAGTCTGGCTTTGAAGAGAGCGATATAACGGCTTCATTTTACTCTTGGAAATCTGTCGCCCTTTTTAAACAGGAATTGTGCAAATTTGCAGGAAAGCCCAATCAGTCTTCTTTCAGCATTGGCAGTATAAAAATAAAATCGGAGTGCGGCAAAATGCCGCCTGCCTACTTTTGTTTTTACAGAATGTGCCTTTTTCGGGGCAATGGGGGGCGTGAGCAAGTAACAAAATGTGTAGCTCAGCGTGTGATGTAAACAGTGACGTGGGAGGGAAGCCGCGGCTGGTCAGTCCTTCGGCGATTCTCTCGTAAGTCTGCCCGTCCTTCACCGTCCCCGTCACTTGACGGTTAATGGCCTCTTCATTTGCGAGGACAAGGAGGGCGCGCAATTCCTTGTCTCCCCAGTTGCTCATCTTTACAGTGTCTGTTAGGTTTGTGTTTCCCTCTTGCTACTAACTGCTCACTAATTCCTGCTATCTGCTGTTTCCTGTTTATCCACCGCCAGTGGGTCGCACATGCGGCGTCATCAACAGCTCCCCCCACAAGTCTTCAACAGCCCCTCCCGTGGCGGAAGGGCGCCTTGTTCTGTTTAAACCAAAAAGGTTCCGCCAATATGTCTACCCTTCGAGGCAGAAAATTGAGCACCTCGGATCAACTCGCCAATCCGGCTCTGTGTGTCTAAACGCTCGCAGCTTGTTGGCAAAACAGCCCAACATTCACTGAAAATCTGGCAGTGTAAAAGGGGCTACTGTCTGACATCAA